ATTTTAAGACAGTTAATGTAATGCAAAACAATTGAAGCTACATTCGCACTAGTAAATTACACAGTGCCACCAATATTCCCGAGTCCTGGAATGCGATGGTCTACACTGTAAAACTGTTTGAATGGCCCTTGGCATACTCTACGCATCCTAAAACCCAGTTCAGTTTGAGGGAGAGGGAGGCTGCACATCCCAGAGACCCTTCCCAACTGGCAGGCTGCTGCCACTACCCTCTTTTGAACAGGAGAAGTTTACAAATAAGCATATGTGCTAGTTGGCTTTATTGCATGGGAACATTCCCAGGCGAGTGTAATTTGCTAGCATAAACCTAGCCTCCAAAACTGTGTTTACTGCAGCCATTATGTATCACTGTATTTAAACAAATTCAGCTATCAGCCCTTACTTGTAAACTGTGTGCTGAGTTCTAAGCAGGAAACAAAACACTCAAGAAAACATTTTCTTGATTATATATACTGCTATAGGCATTATTTTCCTTGTAATTGTTTCAGCTTGATAGTAAAAAAATAAAACTTGGTGCTGTTAAGAAAATGATAGTTTAGAGTACAGCTTTATAGTTGTAGATAGAACAGATTATAACAGAAAGTAAAAGCCGTAGAAGAACATTTTAGAAGTATCTAAGCTACTTAGGAGCTCCACTTTCAAAACAGAACAAATTTAGCGGAGAACAAAAGGTCTTTATTATCGGCATAGGCTACTCCACGACATTAACAGTGAAAACACTGTACAACCCAACAGCAAGTGTGGTTGAACATAACCCTTAAAATCTTGTGACACATTTTCCTTGAGAAGTAAGAGAGTCTACTTGGAGATCTTCCTCCTGGTAATAATATAATGGTCAACTGGCCTGAATTTTCCAAGGAAGAACCAGAGAAACCTTACTATAGACTTCATATTTGATTGCTCATGTTCACTGCTGCCATGTAGGAAACATGGCTTAGTTCTCTTGTCCTGTAGGAACAACAGAAGATGCATGCATGAAAACTGCTTTCCTACCCTGGAAGTGACCTGCCCAACTGGTGATTAGCTGTACCACAGAATATATAAATAGGGATGCAGAAGCCTCATTTCAGCTTAACCTTCCTTGGAGGCCCACTTGTGCAAATGCAGTGAACCCAAGCAAAGATTGTGTTTAGGCATGGACTCTCTCTTCAAAATAAAAATTAGCTCTGAAATTTGTACTTCCATCTGTACATCCAACAAAGGAAACCTACACACTTGGTGAATTATGTAATAAGTGATTTTGGCACCTACTAAGTCATGAGACAATTGGTAGTATGAGTGTGGGACCTGAAGCTTTTTGTGGATCTAAGTTGCCCTATCCCTCTTCATGTGTGAAAACAGAATAATCCTCAAGTGCCTGAGACTGATCATCAGATTGAAGGGTATAATTAAGCAAAAGCACAACTATTAAAACTCTTTCTAACCTGCTAGATTAAAGCAATTTAGATGGTGGTAGTTCATTTTTCTTGTTTTGAAGTTCACATCTAAAGTTTATACTCACGTGTTTAGAAGAACAAGTTTTAATGAAACCAACTTGCTAATATATACTTTTACTAAAAAGTATTTTGTATGGATAAAATTCCATCATTGTAATTCATCTCCTTTTATGTTTATGATTTTCTTAAATTTGTTTCTTACTCAAATATATTCACTGCTTTTCTCCAAAAGTTTCCTTTTCTTTTCAAAGTATAAGGATAAAATGTGATTTTCTTCTTTTTATTCTTTCGTGACTCAGCTTCTTGCTTTCCAGTGTTAAGTACCTACTTATAGAACTACAGCTGCACATAAAGCTAAGAATGTATTGAGGAACTGCTATCTTCATAAGTCTATTTTTATGGAATAAGTATTCCAAGAATTTAATTTGTATAAGCACTCAAATATATAAGCCTAAAGTCCAGTATTGGGACTAATAAATTACAATTGCATGTAAGTCACTGAGCACTGAAGATGAACAGACAACACAGAAGTTATGCTATTTATAAATTCAAACAAATAGTCTTAATAAAAGTCTTTTGCCATTATCCGTAATCAATGGTGTATATTTCAAGGGAGCTTATTTTGGCCCTACCACCCCATTATACCTACCATAAAGACACAGGAACTTTTTAAAAATGTTTCATATCTATGCCAAGTGTTATCCTGTTTTAAAATCAGTATATTTTTGTTTGTTTGTTTGTTTGTTTTTAATGGGAAAATAGAGAAAACTAGGATTTTCTGCAAATTATATTCAACTAGTTTGGTATTCAGTGCCTTCCTTATTTATGGGTTTGTAACAAATTTTTGGCATAGACAACTATTTAGGTGTACATTTTAGTTCTTATTATTGATGAAGAATGCACAGCAACAGTAAAGGAAAAGATGTGTCTGTCAAACAGAGGTAGAGAAGAGACTACTTTTCATCATCCCTGGATGACTTTAGACATTAAGTGCAAGGTACTTGAGAACATATTTGCAGTTTTCCTTCTCGACTAAACAAGGTCTTAGTATCTTAAGACATTTACATGATGTGAACCAATGATTTAATGAAAGCTTTTAAAGCTAGAGTTAGAAGTAGACAGGACTAGTCCATGCTGTAGATTGTGCCCCACTGGGTGTGATATAATCCAAAGCTGCCTCTTACAGTTTTAGGAACCCTGTGTGGGAAATCATATTATGCTGGACACCATTGTAAGTGCTTAGATCCAACTGGGAACATTATCCAGTATCCCAATGAACAGCAAACAATAAGCAAATACAGGAGACATTCAGTGCCACTGTGAAAGTGTATTTTGAGCTTATGTACTTGGTGTCTTCTATCCAGACAAGAGGGCTCTTCGTAGCCTTCCTTGCGAAGTTCATTTTCATCTGCAAATCATGGAGATCAGACAGTTTCCAAGAAAATCTAAATGTTGCCCATTAACAACCTCTGATGTATGTAAACGAATAAACAAATCCCCCAAAACACAATCCCCAAACACCTGAGAAGAAAAAGGGGCCTAACGGAAATATCTCACAGGTCTTCTGTAGTTTTGCAAGTGTCAGTGTACAGAGCTCAGAAATGTGTCTGGTGGTGTTCCTGTTTCTGATCTAGGCTTTATAGCCAGGTAGCCCCCCCCCCAGTTCCTGTCATAATGAGTGTGAATATGCCGCCCATGAAACACTCACCCCATTTACACACCGCCTGAGACAGATGGGGGCAGTGGCTTGGGAGCAGCAGGGGAAAGACAGCTTTTCCGTTTCTGCTTCTCCTAAGCTTGCACTCAGACAGTGAAGAAACAAACACCCGCTTCGTCACAGGTGGGTTTAAACCCTCTTTCGTCCGTATCACATTCCCCAGTTCTGCCCGCGTTTCCTTCCCCCGAAAGGACGTTTCTCCCCGGGGGAGGCCGCGGGGTGCGGAGGGGCGCGGAAGGGCGCGGAGGGAAGCGCTGCCCTCCACGCACGGGCACTAGTGGGCGCTGCACTTTCTGTTCGATTTCTCTAAGCCCCGATATTCCATATTGCGTCCAGCCGGGCACTGGGGCAGCCGGGTGCAGGGAACTATTGCTTCAGTAGAAAAGACTCCGTCTGTGTTTGCAGTTTACAGGCAGTTGTCATTTACGTCTCGTGGCTTTACTGGTGCTGAGCTGGCAGAGGTCACTGGCAAGCAAGCACCAGGCAAATTACTGCCTTGGTTTTTTTCTTTTTCTTTTCTTTTTTTTTTTTTTTTTTTTTTTTTTTTTTTTTTTTAAGCAGCACGCCACAGAGCAGCCCCTCGCGTCACGGCTGAGGGCTCCGAAATAAGGTGTCGCTCCCTTTACTACTGTGTTTTTACTACACAAAACACCCGTGATGTCCCCAAGAAGCATTGGGGTGCTTGAATGGGATGTTGAAGTGCTGTGCACGCCACTTTAAATTTGAGCTTCTTTTGGTATGGTTGGCAACATAACTTTGTCTCCTCCACTGACACGTTTCTCTCTTGTTATTTAACAGGGAATCTCTTTGGTCCTATTGCAAGAGACATGCAAAAAAATACCTGGGCACGTTATCGGAGTCTACTTAGCAACTTTCAGACTTTGTTCCTCTGCTTTGTTACCTAAATACAGAAGACAGAAATGGGAGATAACGCTCCCATGCAAATGAAGAGATAGTTGCTCGTCGAGTCTCTGCTTGTGATAGTGGAAGACGCATTGGTTTTCCCTAAAGCAGATTTTTTTTCCCGGTAGCCTGATGCATGGAAAGCGCCAGTGCATTGTCCTCGGACAGCTGATGCTTATCGGGCCAGTGGGGGTATTGTGTTTCAGCTCGTGGCACTGGAAAACCTTGTAACTTTCTTTTGAAGTTAAATGGCTTCGTTTTGTTTCCATGTATGAATAACTCTCCGAAGAACTATAGTGACCCAACAGCGGACCCGTTTACAACGCCCGTCCAAGCAACCTGTTCCTTTCTCTCGGGCGGAGCTTTGCCCAAGAACTGGTCCTCTCGGAGAAGCAGACAGGAGGACAGGAGGAAAGGGAGGGAGAGGGGGAGGCTCCTCAATCAGCCCAAGTTGCATCGTAATTAAATTTTATTTTATCCTACCGAGGCATGCAAAATATCGAGCAAAATACAAGTTTAAGTAATTTGTTTGTATTCTTACCTGTAGGACTCGGAAATTAACAGCCCCGCTAGTTTACTGTTAAGCCTGGAGAGCGAGAGATTGCTTTGCAAACATTACAGTTATTATGTCTGCAGTTGGTACTCTTTGTATAAATTATTGATCAGCCATCTTATTTTTCTTTCTGCTTAATGGATATTATAGCATAGCCGTTTACACGCTATAGTTAAGGTTGTGTCAGCACTTCCATTTATAACATCCCCCTCTTACGCAGAGTTTATAACTCGCTATAAAATTCCGCTTTGTGCTGAAACTTTTCAAGCAAGGGCTCGGACTTTTAAAGATCCTTTCTTCCTCCTCGTCCCCCCCACGCCTCTTCTCCCCCCCCACCCCCGAAAGAACAACTAAAAATGTTGGTCTGCTTTTTTGAAATATGGGAATAAACAGGGCAAGCCCCTCTACGCCAGTGTTTTTCATTCACTTAAGTGACACGAGGAGTAAAAGGCTGCGTGTCTCGGACTGTCAGTTCATATACTTAAAAATAAATAAATAAATAAGAAGGCAATGCGCATTTTTTTTGTTGTTGTTACGGTTATTATGTTTATAAAGGAAGCAATCGGTGCTGGAGCGGCCGCCGATCCGCCGCTCCTCTCAGCGCCCGGCGGGCGGCGGCACCGGGGGCTCGGCGGGGCCGTGGGAGGGAGGGACGGAAAGAGGGAGGGAGGAGGATTCCGCCGCTCCCCACGGCTCTAGAACGTGGAGCAGGAAGAGCAGTCCCCCAGCACCGACAGAGATCGGGATGCGCACTGGAGAGCCAGGAGCACTGAACTTCGTGCCGGCTCCCGGTGTTCCGACTAGCCTGGCTTGGGAGCGAGGGAGGGAGCGGCTGAGCGAACTAACCCTGTGAAGGGGGGAAGGCACGGGAAAGGGCAGCTCAGATTAGATCAACGCTTTAACATAATTTAGTGGCAGGGGCTTTGTACTTCATAATTATTGCTCCGAGCGACTTTCCCTACCTGTTGGTAGGTGAATTAACACGTTGGACTGAGGACCTCTAATGAGAGCCCAAGTCTGACTCAAACATCACCCGTCTATGCCAGCCCTCATTTAATTCACGCAGGGAAGTTGGTTATCATTTCCTCCTCGCGCTGCAGCTCTCCCTCTCGGCTGTCAGTTGTCAGGTGAATGTCAGCACACAGTGCCCAGCCACTGCTCCATCCATCCATCCATCCATCCATCCTGAGGCAGCCCGGGAAGGGAACACGACCCGACCCGTTTCACCATGTGGCTCTGGTAGCAGCAACGCGATCGAGAGGCTCGAATCAACAGAAGTGTTGTTTTAGTTGACTGACTTCGAAACGTCTTTTCTGAAGTCAGAACAGTGACTTAAGGAAAAAAAAAAAGTAAATAAGCAAGTAGCTTAATTGGCGTTTGGTTTTTTGCAATTTACATATATGCGCTTGTGTGTGGGTGTGGTGGGAGTGTGGGTACGTGCGTCTGTGTGTGTGTCGGCTGCTGGGGAGGAGCGAGGCAAAGGATGAGAGGGCTCCCAAGCCGTCGGTTTTTGCATCTCCCAGTACAGCGTGTCCTTGGTCAGAGCATCAGTTAGCATCCCCTGAGATAAAACCCACTGCCCGTGGGGATGAGGGGGCAGAACTGAGGGATACTCCCTGGAGTTAAATCCTGCCCTTGTACTCAGGCGGTGAGTACCCAGGGAGCCAGGAGGGCTCCCTGACGCAAGGGTGTAAAGCCGGCAAAGGATGCTCTAGCGCTCTAGCGTTGAAGTGCCGGGGTAGGCAGGGCGTGTGCGAGTGACCAAGACGACAGCAATTCCCCATCCAGCCCTGTGCTGGGGATGCACAGCCACTGCTTTCAGTTCTCCGTCTGAGAGGCTCACATTAAACCATTAACACAAGTGGTATTTTGCTACCAGATTCTCGTTTTTAAAGACTTTAAAAGTTATTTTAATGGCTCCAGAAGTTTCTTCACTTTCTTCCACCACCTTTTTTTTTTTTTTTTTTTTTTTGGTTAAGCAGGCACCCTACGTAAATATAAATTGCAGTAAACAGAACGTGTAAGCAATCTTGCCTTGTATTCTGGATTTTTTGTGATATATGGTGGACTGTTCCGAAGTGTATGCTATTGTTAAAGCTGTTTGTGCCGGGTGTACTAATGTACTGTTTGATTGAGTGAATTAGCAGTCATAACAATCTGGCAGTCTGGCCATAGAAGTGTGCTCAAATTGATTTGTGTTATGGCTGGACTGGAAAATCTAGTGTTAGTTGTTTTTTTGCCCTGGGGCATTGTTTGTACCAAACTCCACTTTTCATTTAATTTTCCAATATATTTTTGAAAGACCAAAAGGTTTGTGATCAACATTTGCTGCACTTTATTATTATTCAGTTATTAAAAATATCCTATGAGTAATTTCAGGTTCCCAAAAACCTTGCTTTCAATTAGAGTAAACATAATTAGCGTGATGTCGTGCCTGGAATGGCAAATCTCCCTTTGTATCTATTAAGCATGTTATCTACTTGTCCTGTCACTGAAAGGAATCCAGTTTGTATTTATATCGGACAAGGTCTTGTGCTACTTTGACTACAAGGCAACAATTAGAAAAACAGCACTGCAGTATCCAGTTTCTTACTACTGGTACAACATTTCACATCAATCTCAACTGTATTCATGGTGTTCTCAATGTTTAGTAAGTATCTTGGTGGAAGAGAAGCAAAAAGAGGATCTCTATTCACACACTTACATTTCTATGAGTCTATTTTCCTGAGCGATGCAGGGGGGATTCGGTATGAGGTCCCTCCCTCTTTCTCAGTCTTCCCTCTAAATAACAGATAGCTCCTCAAAGGGGGATTGCTGCTCGAGACCTGAAATTAAGAGCAAAGCAGAACTTACCTTCTCTTTGCCAGTACTTGTTCCTTTCTTAGAATCTTCTGCTCGGCAGTCGTTTGCCAGAATTATAATGCAGAATGATTAAACCTAAAACACTACTCTATTGATCACACAGAAAGCTTTGTGAAATCATCTTGTTTCTTCTATTCAGAAACGGTGAACAAAATAGGTCACTAGACAAGGATAAGATAAAAAACAAGACAGAAATGTATTTCTCAGGAAAATAAATTCCAAAGAAATGCAGGAAAAAAATGTGGATGAACTTAACATGATAATACACTATTCATCCTTACCAGGTGTCTATCTTCTGTATCCATCCCCTCCCCCCAGACCATTCCTTCACACACATTCAGAAGATAAATACTTTTCTGTTTTGGTTTTTTTTTTCTGAATGAATTAAAATATTTAATTATCAATAATAACTGAGGAGGGGGGAGGGAGCTGATGTAGTATCCTATCTCCTGTCAGTCAAGTATTCAGATTCCTTAAAATGCAACAGCTACAATGCGTTTTCTAATTGCATTTTACCCTTTACAGCTGCCCTCAAAATTGTAATTTAATAAAATTGTGAACACCATATCAGTCTTTTTTTAAAGCAATAAATTACAATCACTGTCAATACATCTTGCTGCTTTAACTAACATTCTAATATATCAAAATGGTAAAAAGAAAGAGAGAGAGAAACAGAGAAAATACCTGCCCTGAACACTTACATGAGCAGAACAGAAACCCTGCTTCAAACAATCTTCCAGGAAAGAAATTAAAGACTTCTTAATTAGTGCAGCAATTAGGCTTTCTTGGTCGCATTTTAATCAGCCCAGGCCCTATCAAAGGACAAACAGAACGATTTGCAGGTCTTTGAATTTTAAACAGTCTTATTGATTTCAGCACCATAAGTCTTCACTTGACACAGGCAGAATTTTCAAATATCAGTTACAGTAATTTGAGTTTTGCTGATATCAACTCAGGGAGAGAAAAAGAAAACATCCAACAATATTATTATGTGAAAGGGTCAGCAAGTGAGAGAAATGCAATCTAGAGAAGTTTACAAAGACCGGCCGCAGGATTTGTTGGTTTATGTGAGTGTGTGAGTATATGTGCAAGTTAAAATAATCGAGATGCTCCCTATAATAATTAGAAAGACTTACCACGCCAGAAGCTTTGAGGAATCTTGAACCTTTTCATAAATCTGTTTCTTTCTAGGTTTCTAATCCCAGTGTTGCATTGAAACCATCAAGGTTAACCCAAACCCCTGGAAGTAAACTCTTTCAAACTACATTTTCCTTTGGACCACGAGGATTTTACATTTGTGAGGCCACACAGCAAGTAGAAAAGCAGAAGGGCTGGTGTGTGTCAGATTGTAGGAAAGGTAGAGAACAAAAGAAATGGAAGGTTTCCTAATTCAGAGTTCACTCAGGTCTCCAAGTGGCAATATCACATGAGTCTGGCTCTGTCCCGACCTTCTTAAGGATCTGTTCTGTCTTCATAAGGTGTGAGAGAAGGTAAGATGCAAAAGGACAGGTGAGGCAAAGAAAATACGGACGGAGTTGGCTTTCTACAATTGAAAAAAAAAAAGATGCAGTGCATCTATGTTTTGAAATTACAAGTTTTACGCAACACTAGATCCCACCACTGGGATCCCACCACTGGAATTCGAGTTGTATAAGCTCCTCGAGACAAACATTCTGAAAAAATCCCACCTAAAAATGGCTCAAAGAAGTGTTCTGTCCAATTATGGGTACACAAGACTTCAAATCAAAAGGCTGCTTTGTATTTTCTTGGGTTTATTTGCAATTTTAAAATTTTACTGCAGGATAGCTAAAATTTCAGTAGTAATGGACCTCTTAAGTGGCTTTAGAACACAAATTCCCTTAGACTGAATTTAAAGTACAATAAGCAAACAGATCGCGTGAGAGTAGTTTATGTCTGATACTGCGGAAATTCCCCTGCACCAAAGTACCACAGTTGAGATTATCCACTCTGCAGATGTGTCATCCCGTGACTCATGTCTCACGTAATAGTACATATAAAGAAAAAGAAGACAAAAAGCTATGGGCACATACATGCATGGCATGTAATTAAGCACACAGAGGGTGCATTTTTTAAACAGGAAGAACTATGTACGCACCGACTCCCGATTTTGCACACCTCCATCAGTACCAGTGGCCACTTCTTGGCCCCTTTGAAAGTGCGAAGTGCCCTGAAGACATGCGCGCCAGAGCCCCAGGCTTTCCCGACGGGCGCCAAGCTGCCAAACCCCGTTCCATCCCCATCCCGACCCCGGCCAGGTACCGCGCCAAGCCGGCCGCGCCGCCCGCCCCACCGCGCATGCGCGGGCCGGCGCCGCGCTGACTTTGCGCGCTACCTGGCGCGGAGGGGCCGGGGCGGCGCTGCGCGGGCTCTGCGCGCCATCGGCACCTGTTGCGCGGTGGTACCTGCGCGGGCCGCCGTCTTTCCTGTCTCCTAAGTTACTTGTGTGCCGCCGCAGCCCGCTCGGTGCGGTGCCTCGGCGGCCTGACCCGTAGTGCCCTTGTCCCCTCCGATCCAGGGCCGCCGCGGGAAAGCCCTCCGCGGATGCTGCCGCGTGGGGCTGCCCGTGCGCGCCCCGCGCAGCCGCCGCCCGCGCAACAAAGGGGACCCTCGGCAGCAACTCCCACGCCGCCGGGAGGAGCGTCTTGTGGTCCCGGGAGAGCAACAACAGCAGCAAGAGCAACAGACCCGTCCGGAGGTTTCTGCTTTTGTCTGCCCCGGCAAGGTGTGCGGAGCCCAGCGCCCGCCCCGCGCCTCGGCTCCCCCGCTCCCGCCCGGCTTTGGGGGGAACGCTGGAGACGCTCGTGTTTCTCCACAAACTGTGTTGACAAGCGACTGTTGAAAAGGGCTGGGAAAATTACATCTCATCTCTGGTGGGGTGAAATATGAAACATGTAATCTAACGGTTCCTGAAGGAGGGGGGGAAGAGAGACTTCTCTCGTCTCTCTCTCTGTTTTCCTGCTCCGGGTTCCTGGTTGGATAATTTGGGTTAATACTAGTGAGTGAGCCTTTTGCTGCTTCAAAGGGTATTTCAAGTTGCCGGAGCTCCTCCCCTCCGCACCGTGTGACAACAACAACTCGTCCAGCGAGCGAGCGGCGGCGGCGGCAGCAGCCAGCACTTCCCAGCTCATTTTCTCTCTGTCATTCCCCTCTCAATCTTTGATCAATGTACTTGCCAGAGAGAACCGAAGTCCTTCAAACCTCCTCCCTTTCACCTTCGTCTTTAACGTGGTGCTAGAGCAAGGACCACAAAAAGAAACTGCCCTCCCCCTCCCCTCGGCCCCAGCCCCGCCGCCCGGAGCGGACTTCTCCTCCTCCTCCTCCTCCTCCGTCCCCACTTGCGGGACACTTTGTGCGTTCTCTCTCTCACTCTGCCCCCTGCTCTCTCGCTCGCCGCAGCACCTGATCCGGGGTTATCCCCCCCTTCTTCTCCCCCCTCCTCCCTTCTCTCCTTTCCTCTTTTTTTTTTTTTTTTTTTAAATACATTTTTTAATTTTTCCCCTTTCCCCTGCGTGTGTGTGTGGGAACTTTCCCCCCTCCCCCTGCCCCCTCCGCCGTATATGTGACCATGGCCGTACCGGCTGCTTTGATCCCTCCGACCCAGCTGGTCCCCCCTCAGCCTCCGGTCTCAACTTCTGCCGCCTGCACCACCACCACCACCACCTCCTCGTCGGCCACCTCGTCGGCGGCCACCTCCTCTCCGTCTCCGTCCATCGCTCCCCCGCCGGCCGCTTCGGGGACAAACCTATTCCGGCCGGAGCCCATCGCAGCGGCGGCAGCGGCGGCGGCCACAGTCACCTCCACCACCAGCGGCGGCGGCGGTAACGGCAGCGGCGGCGGCAGCGGCGGCGGCAGCCCCAGCCTGGGCACCGGCGGCGGCGGCGGCGGCGGCAGCAGCGGTGGCGGCAGCGGCGGCACCTCCACTCCCAATGCCAGCGCGGCCAGCGCGGCCGGCAGCCTACCCGGCAAGCCCGTGTACTCGACCCCATCCCCGGTGGAGAACACCCCCCAGAATAACGAGTGCAAGATGGTGGATCTGAGGGGGGCCAAAGTGGCCTCCTTCACCGTGGAGGGCTGCGAGCTCATCTGCCTGCCCCAGGCTTTCGACCTCTTCCTGAAGCACTTGGTGGGGGGCTTGCATACGGTCTACACCAAGCTGAAGCGGCTGGAGATCACGCCCGTGGTCTGCAACGTGGAGCAGGTCCGCATTCTGAGGGGGCTGGGGGCCATCCAGCCCGGGGTCAACCGCTGCAAACTCATCTCCAGGAAGGATTTCGAGACCCTCTACAACGACTGCACCAACGCCAGGTAAGCGCCGCAAGGCACACGCGCACCCCGCCGGGCCCCCCGCCGCCGCCCCGTCCCACCCTCGCGCGGTGCGGTCCGGGCGGGCGGTGCGCCGCTCCCCGCTGCCCCCTCCCGCGCTGCCCCCGCACCCAGCCGGCCTGCTGCGCATCCGGCGGCGCTGCTTCTTGGTGGGACGGAGGGAGCGAGGGGGAAGGAGAAGGGGTGTTTGTGCCCCCCTCCCGCTGCGCCTTGCGAGTGTCGCCCTGTCATTGTCCTCTTCTCTCATCCGTCCGAGGCGTGCCGGGGGCAGCGCAGCGCGGGAGCGGAGGGCCGGCGGGGGTGGGGAGGGGGCAGCAGGGCCAAAAAGTGCTTTCTGAGCGACCCCGCTGCTCAGGCTGTCCCTGGATGTATCTTTAAAGCGGGCAGCCCTGGGAAAAAACCTCCCGAAGGGTGCACGGGAGTGGGCGGGGAGCGGAGGGACGGCGACACAGACACTCGGGTGTCGCGTTAACTGGGATGGGGTGCGCAACTGCCTCCCGGGCATCGGGCCCAGTTCCGGGGAGATGGAGGCCACTTGGCCATCAGCTGCTGTCACACATCCGAGGGGGCACGTGCACTTTTTGTATAAGGCTGTGGGGCAGTTGCCACATGGCGAACGGGGGAGGTGGAGGGAGGGCGGGAAGACGGCGAGGAGGAGGAGGAGGAGGAGGAGGTGGCGGCGGCGGCGGCGGCTTTGCTTTGGGGCAGTGGGGAGAGGTGCCAGGCGGCCGGGCTGGGCTGCTCCCTCGCGGTGGGGGGGGGTGGTGTCGGTCCCCGAGGAGCAGGTGCGAGCAGCTCCAGGTCCCCGCCAGCCGGGGAGGAGGCGACGGGGGCAGCGGGAGCGCGGCAGGGGTTTTGGCCAGGCTGGATCCTGCTGCCGCGTAGAGTAACGCGGGCGCGGTGGCGGGAACGGCTCCGGGGGCGGGGAGCAGCGCTGCGGCTGCGGGCGTTGTGGGGGCATCCGCGCACCCCGCGGGCCTGGGAGGCGCGTAGGGGAGGTGAGCCCCAAACTTGCCACAGCCGGAGAGGGGTGTCGGAGGGGCGAGAAGGAGCTGGCAAAAGAGGAAATTCCTGATGCAATAGCAGCCGCCTTTGCAACGGAGGGCGAAAGCGTGGGGCTGTTATCTCTCAATCTGTAGGTTACAGGGCTGAATCTCCTCGATAAGGAGAAGGGATCGCATAACTGCCGTGACCCCGAGATCAGAGCGGTCGGAAGCGGCTCCAGTTCCCGGGGGCTCGCCCTGCCTGGGGCGGGGGCGGGGGGCTCTGGCTCTGCCGCGCTGGAGGGGCCTCGGGAACTTCCCACGGAGGACGTCGTGGACAAAGTCCCGATGCGACTTTCAGTATACGCAAACAAACAGACCGGGCTCGTTTCACTTTCCTATTGTAGGATTTCTAGGTGCAGCAATAGCCAACACGTGGGGAATTAACCCTACGCGATGCCGTGCTCCTGACCGTCCCGTCCGCGATGGCGGGGGATGTGACATCTCCTCCTCCCCCTCCCCTTCCCGATTCAGCGGAGGGTGCCTGAGAGTCATTAGCATTGAGCCAGACGAAGCAGAGCACTTACTTTGCGGTGGCTGTTGCTAGATGGATTGTTGAAGTTCCTGAATATTCAGGGCAGCAGGACAAAACAGCCTGGAATAACTTCCAAGCACTGACATAACTGTAGCTGCTCGGGTAACTGTGCTGTTGTTTCATGTGGAATCAACATGAATATTAATAGCTACGCTTAGACGATCGTTGGTTTGTTTGTTTTTTTTTGGGGGGGTCTGTGTGTGCGGGTGGCTTGTAACTTGTAACAACTCTGCAAGAGTTCCAAGATATTGTCCTTAAAATAAACTCATGTAACTTTTACTTTGCCACAGTAATACCGTGTGAATTTTAATTTGAATATGTAGAATTAAGAAATAGAGAAACTTTTTCCTTTTTTTTGGCGGGGGCAGTATGGGGACACCAATTCCTGGACCTGGCAGGGTTATAAAAGGGTTTGGCAGGCTGGTTGTAACATGGCTTGATTATGTCAACAGCACAGAATCGGCTGTGTTTCAGCTGTTCCTGAGGTCTGCTGTGTTATCATCCAGTGTAGTAGAAATTACAGTAGTGGGTTCAGAAGTGAATAGGATTTGACCCTTAAAAAGCGTAATCTTAGCAGATTTATTTATACATCCATTGAACAAATAAATTAATGGAAATTATATACAATAGATATAGGAAATGTATTATTACAGTATAGACAAAGTGGGTCAGTGAGTTTTGGTCAAAATGGATGATGTCATCGGAAGATAAATCTGTATTTGCTTTCTGGGTTTCCCCTCTAAGACATATCATTCTGATTCTTCTTTCCTTACAAATTATTTTTAATTATTTCTGACGTTACAGTAAATATACAGAATATTTTGATCTACACAGTTTAGTGATTTAAGCGACCTTTCCAGACTCTCAGTTACTGCATACTTTAGTTGGGTGATGTCTTTTTGTATCCTGGGTGGACATTTAGCTGTTGCGATGGAAGCTATAAGAACCAACTCCATCCTAGTGGCTAAATTGTTATACTCATCACATTCAAAAATTTCGAACCAGCATCTTATCACTGTTATATTTGTCTCATAATCAGCTGATGCACTCAAGTATGCTAATCCCTTTTTGGAAAGCTTCATCAAGGTTAATATGTTATTTAATCAAAAAAGGCATCCAAATAAAGCCATTACTTTGTTGTTCTTTAAATGGATTGAATCGTTAGTTGCCAGTTGCTGTGGAAATAATTTGTAATAACTTATTTTGAGATGGAAAAGTTTTAGACATGTTTCACCAAAATGATACATTTTAACTGTGATATTGCTATTTAAAAGAATCAATAAAACAAAAATCAATAAAGCACCAAGGGATTTTCTATTGAATGCTTA